TCAGTCAGAATTGAGAAAGCACTCTGGATGGAGTGCAACACTTCTTCTATGAAAAACAAAGTCCAGATGCTATTGCATAACCCATTTTTTAGGATAACCATGACCTGGATAACTGAGAATCTCCACAGACATCTGTCATAAATTAAGTTTTTTTTGGGGTGCATTTTGCACCCCCGAAGAAAGTATGCCAGCGATAATTGACGTCAACACTTTTTCTATCATTTTCTGCATGACCGTATGTAAAACTGGTGCACTTACAATATCCTAGAGGATAACTGCTGTAATTTTAATAACAACATGGTAGTAGCCATAGAAATGGGCAGGGGGTGCAGAACGCACCCCAAGGAACCATTGAGGGTTAAGCTAAATTTCCAAAATAATGCAACTGGACAGTTCCTCCAAAACTGGAATTAATAGACAAATAAAGAGTAGCCTATACAGTCGATAAGAATCAAACACTACACATAGTAACAAGAACAACAATACAATAATAATGATAATAATAGTAGTAAAGTTATTGCAAAAGGTTTATTGCATTTTAGTGGAACTTCATTGAAAATTAAAATAGAAAACAACGCATTTTGGACAACGGAGCATGAAATTATTTACATCAATTATAATTTATTTTTTCACATATATGCTTTCGTAATTAAAACATAACTTTTTTTTTTTTTAATAAAAACGTTTTTTTTTTTCTTGTATTGTCTAGCCTTTGCATGCTCGTCGGCGTTCTGTAGAGAGCGTCACCCATGATGCCTTGCTGAGTGGCCATCGGGAGATGATATATATTCTTGTAACCAAAGACTCTTTTGAACAAGACCTATGACTTGTTCTGTGTTATACTGGCGACGTGAGCTACATGGACGTCTTGTGAAAAGCAGATGTTAATATAAATATTAAAACTATGTAAAAAAAATTTAAGGACAACCTAGATCATATACATTGCCCTTGTCTTCTTGTAGTAAATAAATTAGCTATATCAGAAATCATAGGATTTGGTTCAGTTTGCCTTTTATTATTTTATTAGTACTTGCTACATTTGTTATTAGGAACACAATTGTTTTTTGCCGTATAGACGTACTGGTATAGAAAAGGGCATTTCCTTGGTAATTGTGCGAATGAACAATAAATGAAGAATTAGGCTACATTTATGCACGACCACATATTCTTGAGATGAAGTTCACTAAGCGATCTTAGACATATTGTGAATGTTAAGAGACAATGATGTGAGTAGTCCTTTGTTGCCCCTGAGGTCTGGTTGTCCCTCACAAATCAAAACCCGGAACTAATCGTCGATCGTGGGTCTTGTTTTGCAAAGCGTCTTTGGAGGAGCTCGCACGGTTCGCCGCTCGCCGGTCATGGAGAGTTTAGGAAGTCCGGCGCCCTTGCGTTTATTCTCCCCGATTCACTTTGATACGCTGGGCTCGGTGCCGTCCGGACGGGTTGCAGACGAGGCGGGGTGGGCGAAGAAGATGCGAGGCGCCACCGATTTCAGTTTGAATTAGTCGATCGTGAGATCCACGTCCCCTAGCGTCTCGGTAAGTTTCCTGTCGGGTTAAGTAAAGGAAGGTTCTTTTGTTTTCCGTCGCGCAAGCCAGGCCTAGCCGGTGCGGGATGGGATCCTAAGCCGGCTTCTCCGGCAACCTCCGAACACAACTGGAACACGGAGGGGGAGCAAAGTTATATCATCTGTCACCGGTTAGCGCGGTTGGCGATGTGCTGCGGCGTGCTCGCCCTGGGACCGGCGGCTGGCGAGCCGCTCAGAAAGTAAGTTCCCGAAAGGCGATCCGAGTCTAACATGAAGTGGGCATGCAGTATCCCCCATAGCATGTCAAAAACACACTTGGGCTTAGCTAATACTAAATTAATTACTCCGTCGATGCTGCCGAGTGTTTAAGGTTAAGGACAATTAGCGTCCGGTGCCCTAACTCTTGATGTATTCGCTCAGGGTACTTCTGCGGTATCTGGGTAAGTTATATCTAGGTAAACCTATACGCAGATAAACGATCAGCACTGAAAGGTCCTACGGCGTGATTTCTGATATGGTTTGGTTAATTTTTTTACCCAGTTCTCAATGAACGTGACTGTTAGCTGGTTAGCCGTGCATCCCCCAGTAACCGGGGTAAAGGGACATGCGAGCAGTAGCGCGCGATCGCACCACGGGGGGCTCGCGGCTCCGCGTCCGCCGACCGATCCCGCAACTTTAAGGGGGGCTTCACGCGATCAAATGTAGAGCATGGTGTCCCGCGAGTGCTTCCCGCAGGATCCCTGAATATAAAAGCGGGTCATCGGCGCACCGCTTCGTGTCAGAACTTAACATCCATGTAACAGAAGTCGACACGATCGACAGGTTTGGCTGCTTTTCTTCTAAATTACGGTTGGAAAAGCTTGTGAACAGCACAGAGCGCAGTTAATAATTCCGATTAAATTATTTTCTAAAGAGGGTGTGATCTCATAATATAGCAACTAAAACTTTCAGTTATAACTCAAGGAAATGGTTGCACAGTTTTAACAAGGAATTCACTTTGAAAGATAGGTGTACATTATCACACACTACAGGCCAACTGCCTGCCTTTGGAGTAAAGTATCTCTTGGAAACCCAGTGTCGCAGACATAAACTTCTGGTTGCTAGTTAAGTTGCTTCCTGTTGGTTTGATGGAGTGCTCTTTGTGTCTGTTGTAGCTGAAATGGACTCCTGGCCCTCAAGACAGTGTGATGGACCCCATCCTCAGGAAGCTCCGATGCACAGCATGGCAGGGGCCATCGACCTGTCGAGGAGGCGTAGAGAGACGCTGGTCAATGCTGGTGCCGCAGAGACGCTAAACGGGGCACCTGGATCCAGCTGCGCCAGCGGAGTGCCAGTGGGTGACCGCAGGGTCTCCCCCCCATGTTTGGAATGGCCCGCTGATAGGACAGAGGTGCCTGATGGGCCGGTTAGGACCAAGGGAGAAGCTGCGGGGGGAGCTTGCTTTGCGCAGCTGGGCCACGGGAAGTCAGCAACCGCCAGCCAATGGGGAGGCCAGAAAGCGGAAAGACAGAATGGATCTGTGCACCCCCGGCAAAGGGACGGGTGTGCCGCTGGGTCGTGGGGTCGTGACCCGTGCTCAGGTGGGGCCGAGGGCCATGTTGCCACTCGGGGGTGTTATGCTGTAAACGGGGGGCACCCCTATGGTGCAGGGGGCGCCGTATGTACGGCTCCTGTGTCACCAGGTGCCAGGGAAGCCCCCCCCATAGAGCCTCGGTCACCCACGAGGGAGAATCCTGTTACCTCTGTTCTAGATGCTAAAAGAACTGGGCCACCGGGGGAGAAATCCAGCGGTTCTGCGGCTCTAGCGGGGCCAGAAAGACCCAGAAGGGACCGTGGCGATGAGGCATTGGTCACGGAATCGTCCGGGGCATCGCCGAGGCCCGGAGCAAGTCCGTTAGATAACGAAGGCATCTGGGGCAACCATCTCGATGCCGCTGTTGGTTGTCATTTGAAAGAGGCGGGGCATGGTACCTTCTCCCTAAGGACAGTCGCATCCAAAACCATTGACAACGTCATACCTCTGCCGGGTGTTAAGGCGGCAAATCGCCACCCACCTGAACAGCATGCAGACGGCAGCAAAATGCCGATGAGTCTGCAGAGTGGAGTGTGTGATGTTGGAGATGTTCAGGCCTCACTGGAGACGTCAGCCTGGTCTGGGGAAGAGCAGGGGACAAAGGAGGCATGTGACGTTCACAGCCGCCAGCAGCCTGAATGCGTGGTCATACTGCCACAGACCTGCTCTCCTGCGGCGCGACCTAGCTTAGCCGCGACCCGACCGGAGAGTGGTCTACCGGACACATCGCCACCTATTGGCGAAGAGAGGGATGACCCGAGAAGCCTGGGTACGGCCAGGGCGGGCCGGGGGGGTACCAGGAAGTGTTCTGCGAGCAGCAGAGTCGTGGCGAAGAAGGCAAGAAAGAGGCCCAGGAGTGTGCATGGGGGCCCGTCGACCCTCTTTGCCCCCCGGGAGCCCGAAATCACGCTGAGGTACGCCAGCCACAAGGGGGAGCGACGGTGCTCGACGGCGGCAGACTCCTTTGTGCCCTATGTCCGCCTGGAGCGGGGGGAGTTCAGCGTCTGCTCGGTGGTGAACAGCCCTGAGGAGGAGCGAGTCCGGCGGCAGGAAGGCCAGCCGCAGACGGACGCTCAGTTCAGCTCCTGCGGCCTGCCCTCCAGCTCCTGCCTGCCCTCCAGCTCCTGCCTGCCCTCCAGCTCCTGCCTGCTCCTGGGCCGCCTGGCCCCCGGGGGGGGTACGAGGCCCGGGCCCCTGTGCTGCCTCTGCCACAGGGCATCCAACGTCTTAGAGCTGGGTGACCTGCACGGACCGTACCGTCCCATTGGGACCGGGCCGCCCCGACCGCCACCCTCTACTTCCCACGCCCCAGAGGAGGAGGAGTCCAACCAGTCAGACTCATCCTGCAGCCTGCAAGGCGGGGCACTGAAGCGGGGGTTCCCATCGGAAACGGCTCACGGGCAGCTCGGCGACAGGGATGGGTGCCTGACGCACCCAACCAAGCGGCCCAAAGAGGGCGCCCTCGCGCGTGAGCCGGACCCCGTAGAGTATTGGATCCACGAGGACTGTGGAGTCTGGTCACCGGGAGTCTTCCTGGTCCAGGGGAAGCTGTATGGCTTGGAAGAGGCGGTCCGATTCGGCCAGGAGACGGTAAGACCGATGCCCGTGTCCCACTGTCGTCTTTAGCGTAAATCACCCTTATGGTATATTAATACTTTTTCTTTTTGTTTATTATCCCCTCCCAAAAAAAACATGCCCCAGGTATGCTCCCTGTGCCAGGAGGGTGGGGCCACTCTGGGGTGCTTCTTCAAAACCTGCCCCAGCAAATTCCACTACAGCTGTGCCCTTCAGGCTGGTAAGCGACAGATGCCCGCAGATGCACTCGGTCACTGTTAAAATGCCCCGAATCCCTTCGCTTGACCGCGTCATAGCGGCTGTCAGGTATAACTCCCATGCCACTCTCCTTCCAGATTGTGTGCTGAACAAAGAGAACTTCTCCATGAAGTGCCCAACACACAAGGTAGGAGAAGTATGGATTCAGAGTATGGAATAAGGAAAGAAAGTAAGGAAATATTTCCAGAGGTGTAGTTCAGGTCCAGAAAGTAAAAATCCAGATTTTGTTTCAACCAGCCAGTTGAGTATCTGACTGTGACTCTTTATACTCAACTGGTTGGTTGAAACAAAATCTTGGTCTGGATTTTTGCTTTCTGGACCTGAACTATCCACCTCTGAATATTTCGACGTTTTCAGACGGTCGCAACAGATTGACTTGATATGTGATTGGTTGACTGAGGTTGCCAAATGTGAACGGAAAGCGAAATAGTACTGGCTGCGAGCTTGAGGATGTGAAGGTCTCCCCTATTGTCAGTCTGAAACATTAATAATATCAGAGTCCTGCCTTGGATTGCTTTGGGATGGGCTATAATCTGTCTCTCTCTCTGCCCCAGAACCGACCAGTCAAAGGCTTGGTTCAGCCGGAACGCTGGTGACACAACAGGTGACACTACTCTGGAATTGTCACTCTCTGTCACTCTCACTGTCACCCTCTCTCACTTTTATCTACCAACGGTTCCGCTATGGTCATGTGTACTTCCCGCTGGCTGCCCTTTACAATCTGCTTCTTTGTGGCGTTTAAAGTCAAGTATCTTTATTGTCACCTTCAGCTATAGTATGAGTCAAAAGTTTGGACACACCTACCCATAGAAAGCTTTTTTCGTATTATAAAGAAATCAAAACTATAAAATAACAAATGAATTTTGCACTGACCAAAGAAGTATTAAATCAAAAATATTAATTTGTTTTGGGGGGGGGGGCAGCTTGGGTTGGGACTCAGAAGGTTGCTGGTTCAATTCTCAGAGTGATCCCACCATTGGACCCTTGAGCAAGGCCCTTAACCCCAGTGGCCCCAGGGACTGGCTGCCCCTACGTCTCCTCTATGCCAGTTTCATGAGGCGCCTCCTGAGATGCTCTTCCAGCCGTCCTGAAGGGGCTCCCACGTATATGCTGAGCTCTCATTGGCCACTTTCCTTCACTGTCTGGTCAAACTCCTCCCAAACCATCTCTGCTGTGTTTCGGTCAGGTGACCAGGTCATGTGATGCGACACTCTAATATTCTACTTTGTAGGCGGCTTGGTGTGTCCAAGGTTTGGACTGGTCCTGTATATGATCCATAGTGAGATGAAATTATGATATTGCTGGTCATATTGAAAAAAAAACGATAAATAGAATATTGTTTTGAATATTAAACACAAACGCTGGCAATCTGACAATGTAAACACCCCAGTCTGAGACACAAAACAGACAGAAAAAATACATTATAGAACTGTAACCCTGTTATTCGGTAATACTGTATATACAGCTCTGGGAAAAATTAAGAGACCACAGGAAAATTTTCAGTCACACTCATTTCTCAGTTTATGGGTGTGTCTGTGTAAAATATCATTTGTTTTTGCAAACTGCAGCCTGGCTCTTCCCTGCTTCTCACTGAAGGGCTTCTTTCTTCCTTTATGGGTCTTCAGTCCTGCTTCTAGGAGCCTGATATGAACTGTCCTAGCAGTGCACTTTACACCTGCACTTAATGTTTCCCATTGTTTTTGAAGGTCATCGTCTGATTTATGAGGCACTGCCCGGATAAACTGACGGTCATCTATGGCATTAGAAAGTATTTTCTGCCCTCTACCTGGCTGGTTTCTGGTCGTTCCCAGTGTTTCCTGCTTCACCTTATTCTTGTGAACTGCTGTCTTAGAAACCTGCTGCGCAGTGTAGCCCTTCTGCCAGTAGATCCAGGATTAAACCAGGATTAATCCAGGGTTTAAAAATGCAAATTAAAAAAATATATAGTGTGGTCTCTTTAAAATTTTCCAGAACTTTATTTGGTGTTCAGGTAGATCTCAGGTTATTCGTACTGTACAAAGTTAATGATTTGACTGTCTACGCTCCTTCACAGTGTACTAAAGAGTCGTGACATTTCCCTGGAAGCAGAATGACCCGGTAAGTCTGAGCAGAAATGTCCTCAGATCCTGGGTGGATGTTTACCATAGATTTACGGTTTGGAGCTGGACAAAACTGAAATTATTTAAACCGTTTATGGGAATGGAAATGTACCTCTGTATACACGCACGCTGTAGACACAAAACTCGTATCAAGGTATTTAAAAAGTGGTGTTTGGAATGTCCTGTGTGACGGCAGCTTTCCGGTAATTTCCATTGGGTCGTTAAGGATTGGCTGCTGAAACGAGGACTTGAGTTTTCTGCATGTTGAAGCCTGTCAGCAGCAGTGGGGGGGGGGATGGGCTTATCTTCAGAAACATCGCTCGTGCCCTTTGGTGTTGTACCATGTGACCTGCCGAGGTGTAAACGTCTCTGCTATCGCTGCCCTAACACCCTGTAAAACATCAGCCTCATTCTCCAGCTTCCATCTTGATCGTTGATACGTTTGTTTTGCGTTTAACTAACTTAGGCTGCTGTGTACGTGGCACCGCGAGGGTAACCGTCTCGGGGCTGAACTGCAACCCGTTTCACCCCTGTGGTTGTATGTCTTGTGTTCCCCCACCATTCTTCTGACGGTGTGGAGACACTCTGCTGTCCCAGCTGCCTGGAATTAACTCCTTGCTCCCTTGTTCACGTCTCCCCTGCAGGTTGGATGGCATCATTGTGAGCTGGGTGTCGGAACGTGAGCGTGTCCCTCACATATGTGCTGTGCACCCACAATGCCCCTGGGGGGTTGGGTCTGCCTGAGGAGTGGCCTTTTTCAATGCAAAACAGAATTTTTTTTTTTTTTTATATATAATTTTTCCTGGAAGCCTTCGTCTGTTTTTGCTGGTCCTTATCTGCTCTGACGGATTCCAGAACCGTATCTTCAGAGTGGGGCCCGTTCACAGAAGGGACCATCCTAATCCACGATGTCCATCATGAAGCTGGTGGGGGAAGAAATGTATCTCCTTCTTGGCATCTGCATATTTTAGATCTCACTGTGAAACTGGTGGTATCCTGACCACTAAAATGAACTGAAGACATTAATGTTTTTATTTCGTGCAGGAAGTTATATTTTATTGGGCTGGGTTGACTGACTTGTGTATATTTAATGACGTTTTTTTTCTATTTTATTTCAGAGTTATTTTAAAATTCAGACGGTCTGTTTTTGTAAAACGCCAAGGTTAATGCGAATGAAAGAATTCCTCTCTCTCGGAGTTAGCCTGGGTCGAACCCGAGTAACGATTCTGCCCCTGGAGCTGCTACTTTTGGCTCCTCCCCCTCCCCATCCTCCTCCACTGAGGGTCACCTTGCATCACGCGGACATAGCAAATCGTGTCGTTTCCTCCAATCAGCCGAGACAGGGCACGAGGTAAAGAAGCCTTTTCTGGTTGGTTCTTGCCTGCTGGTACTCTGGCCAATCTGGGGCTCTTTTGTACACTGTAGTATGAAACATGGAGTGTGAGGATGCTGTCATGTTGGGGGGGGGGGGGGGGGGGGGGCTTTGGGTGTTTCCGACTTTTTAACACCCCCCCCCCCCCCCCCCCCCCCCCC